CTCCTCCTTCTCCTTCTTTATCTTTCAGTGATGGGGGTTGTTTGTTTCAGTCAGGGTCTTACTATGTAGTTTAGGCTGGCTTTGAATCACTGGGTAGCTCAGGCCTCAAACTCATAGTGATCCTCTTGCTTCAGCCTCCCAAGTGCTGGGACTACAGGTGTGCACCACCATGCTTGGCTTTTCTCTCAGCCATTCTTGGCTTTGCCTGGCTCCTGAAGGGCAGGGCTTTCTCTTACAACTGAGTGAGCCTCACTGTCTCCACTGTGCGGTGCCCTCTGCATATCCACTCATCTACTAGGTTGGTTCTGCTCTGAATACCATGATGCCAGCAGGGACCAGGCTCGAGGACATAAGACAAGCCAGGACGGCCCCAAGCTACCAACCAAGGCTTCTGTTCAAAACCACAGGTAGTGGGAAGTTCCCTGTGGTACCTCAGTAGCCAGAATCCGACACAGAATAGACTGGGTCTGCGCACCAACAAAGGGAGGCTGTGCTCTGTCCTGAGGTTCCCGTTCTCTGCCGCATGGGCCCTGCCTCTGATGAATGGTCACAGGGCAGAGTCACCGTGGGTGGCTCTCGCTGTTGTCTTCCCTAAAGATGTAACATGGGCCAGCAGGGAGGCGGGCAGCCCCAGTGATGCAGGCATGGGCGGTGGGGCCTGCAGCTTTGCTGGCAGCTGGATTCGGAGCAGTGTGAAGGCCTTGCTACTCCCTCAGAGACTCCGAAGACAGAGCAGAGTCTGCGTCTGCAGCCTGGAAGGCATTGCATGCATGGTACATGGGCCTGGCCAGTGTCCAACCAGAGATGCTTTGTCCTGGATATGTGTTGGTCACTCCCACTCACTGTCCACTCCCGAATGTGTGCTCCACGCCGCCACCACCCATAGGGCACAGCACAAATAATACCCAGGCATCCACACATGGCTCCACTGGTATGGCACAGGCTAATTGTGTGATGTAAATGCAGTTACTACAGAAATAATGGTCCCATCTGCAATTCCAAAGTCCAATACCAGGCAGGTTCCAGGAGTTGAGAAGTGCACGACCTACACCGCTGCACACTGCAGCCCGGACACTGGTGCACAGCAGGGAAGGATACTACAGGGGGTCATCGGTGACTCACGCGTGGAAATGGTGTTTGAGGTCCACACAGCTCTCTGGATGAACCCACACAGTTCTCAATTTCACATCCCCATCTTTTGTCAGTCGTTTTATTACAAAGAGAGGGTTTGGACCCTGTTCTGTGCCAGGGACTTGCCAAGCATTGAGGGATAAAAGGGCCCGTTGTGGTGGCCAGACAAGTGGCTGCCCAGGCACAGGGCCCCATGGTTAGATGGAGCAGGAGAAGCCTGGCCTGTGGTGGTGCCCCAAGGGGGCCTCAGGCCAGGCAGCAGTGCTCACGCTACTCTCCACCCCAGGACACCCGCCATGATCGGCTGCTCATTTGTGGTGGACCGTGAGTACTTCGGAGACATTGGCCTTCTGGACCCTGGCATGGAGGTGTATGGGGCCGAGAACATCGAGCTGGGCATGCGGGTGAGTGAGGGGAGGGGCCTGGGGCCAGCACAGGGACCCGAGTGGCCGGGCCGTGGAAGGCACAGGCAGGTGGGTGGGGGCACTCTGCTGCCTTGGCCAGTGAGGTGGGCGGGAACTCTGTGGAATGCTGAGCTGGTCCTGGTGCCCTGGTGGGGAGGTGGAGGCACAACTTGCTCTAGGGGCCTTGGGACAGAGTGTGAGCATCTGCGGGGCTGTGGTGCCCTCGCCACTGGCAGGGACCAGGCCTACTTGGAGTGATCATTGAGCACATCTGCTCCGGGCACTAAGGCCAGGCCCTGAAGGACTGAGGCTGGCATCCCTGCTTCCCACCAACTTGGAGAGGAGGCCAACAGGGCCCCAGGAAGCGGCAAGGCTGGCCTGGCCAGAAGGGGGCACTGGGAGGGGCTGCGGGCACTGTGGCCCAGGAGGGCTCTCAATGAGGCCCTGGAGATACAGAGCACTCGGCAGGGCTGGGCAATGGGGTCCGAGTTCTGCTCCATGCTAGGGGCCTGGAGGGTCCGAGCAGGGCCTCCCAGTCTCCTGCCAGGGCCCCTCTGTCCCTGGACTCCAGGGTGATAATAGACGGGATGGAGGAGTGGAGGCCACAGTGGGAGCCTGGGCTCCTCCTGGGGCCTGAGCAGCTGGGGCTGAATGGGCAGGGGATAAGGGGCTCAGGGCCACTGTTACAGTATCACCTGGCATGCAGCCCGGGCACAGCACCCAGGAAGGTGTCTGGCAGGGCCAGCAGGTGGAGGTGCCGGGGTGGTGCCGAGTGAGGTCTGGCTGGGCTGGGAGAGTGTGTCACTGTTCTGCACAGCTGCGAGACAGGGGCAGCGGAAGCCCTGCCCTACACACAAGCCTGGCACGGGTCCCCACCAGGTGGCCCTGGCTCTGACCAGGAGGCCCTGGCCTCTGTGATGAGGCAGTGTCACAGTGGTAGCATTGGTCTCCAGGCCACCACAACAAACCTGAGACCCAAGACAGGGCTGGGGACAGAGACTGTCCTCTCCGAGACCCTGTGGGCAGGGGCCTCGTGTCCTGGGTCAAGAGGATGCCCCTCCTCTCCCAACCCTCTGCGGCCAACACTACCCCACACGCGCACATTGCTGTCCCTCGGTGCATCCCCATGTCTCCCAGCACACAGATGACCTGGCCTGCTTGGCTCCCTGCAGCCCTGTCCCCTGGGCTACCCTGCTCACCAGCCAAGTGCATGTGGGGTGCCACCTGCTCTCTCCTGGCCTGCCGTGTGCCCCACCCCTCAGCCCAGACAGTGGCGACCAGCAGAGGTGGCAGCAGAACCTGGGGGCCCTGAGAGGGCCTGGCTGGGGACATGGGGTGACAGGGACAGAGGATCAAGTGGCCCTGAGAAGACACTAAGGGCAGGACCCATCTCCCTGTCTGTGTGCATTGTCCATGAGTGCACATCTGTGTGCGTGCCCATGTGTATACAGTGCTTGTGTCTGTGTGTGTGTTCATGTGTGAGTCTGAGTGTGTCCACATGCCTGCCAAGGCATCTTGGGCAGACTGTGGGGCCTGTGCTCTGGTCCCCACGTCCACCCCCAGACATAGTCATGGGCACCACAGCGTCCCTTGAGGCCAGGGCACCATGGTTCCTGTATGTGTGAGGCAGCGGTGCATCATTCCCCTAGGGGACACTGCCCACAGCCCTAGTGCTCCACTCTGCCCAGTGGTGGCCACAGCCTGGTGGTGTGGAGGGAGGAAGGGCCTGGTGCCCATGGCCACGCACAAGGTCTGCATGTCCCTGAGATCTGTGCACATTACTTTTATTCTCTGGGCCTCGGAAGGGGCTCGATTGCTTTCTTTCCTGTTTTGCCTATAGAGCTTCTACCCAGAGGTTGTTTTAGGCTATATTCATAAAATTTTATGCACATTTTATTAAAGTCATAACTTTCAAAACCTATTATTTACTTTAAGGCTTTAAATTAAATGCAAAGTTGGGCTGGGGATTTAGCTCAGTGGTGCCACAGCCTGCCTTGCAAGTGCAAGGACCCGAGTTCGATCCCTGGTTCAAAAAAAAAAAAGTTAAATGCAAAGATCATGTTGTTATGGCTACAAATCCAATAAAGGCAGAACAGTTACCCCCCATCCATCTCTGATTAACTCAGGGAACAGATCAAATGCCATTAAATCCATTTGCTCCTGTAGTTAGCTAAATCTCTCTGAACGGTTCTCGAGTGACTCTCTCATGACTTATTTTACTCCTTTGTAAGCACTAGGTGCCTGGTGTTGCACTCTAAGTCCCCGGTGTCTGAAGAGTCTGAGATACGTGATGACGAACTTCAGCCAAATCTCATGTACTCGCAGGCATCTCAGGGCCATCTGCAGAGGTGTTAACTCCTCTTGCACTGACCAATTTCAGATCACAACTTTGTAATCACCCTCAGCTAGTAGTCTTAAAGGCAGAATCAGGGTAACCTGGCAGATCCTTTAGATGTTGACTTCTGGTAGCAGGCCATGAGCCCCAGCCTGTGGGCGCCCTCTTCTGGGCTAATGCAGAGTGAGGCCTTCCCAGTCTGAGGCAGCCCAGGGCACAGTGCAGACAGGTGACAGGAGCTGCACCAGCCACACAGGACAGAGGAAGGAGGACAAAGTGGTCTTGAGGGCATAGCAGAGCAACAGGGCCGGGAGGGCTGGCTGGGACCCAGGCCAACATCTGTCTGCTGGGTGCCACAGGGCAGAGTCCATCAGACCTTCCTGCCGTGGGGTGACTCTGGCCACACAGGTGACCAGGTTGGGCTGTGGGTCCCTTCCAATGTCACCCCGGCTGCCCATTGCCCCGGCTGCATGGCCCCTGGCCCTGTGCTGAGTGAGGTTTGCTGACGGCTTCTGCTGGGTTGAAGCCTTGATTCCCTGCGGGTGCCTGGTTCACAGCAGCCCCACCCTATGTCTGACAGCAGTGCGCCCGCCATGGGGCATGGGACAGAGGCCCAGTCACAGTAGCTGTGAATGATGGCCGGGCTCAGATGGCATGACGCAGCTACCACATGGCCACTCTTGGCCACAAACCCGGGGCCGTGGAGGAGCTGGAACCACTCAGAACCACAGTGGTGGAGAGGTGAAAAGACTTGGAACAGAGTGGTTGAGAGGTTGGACACTGTCCCCAGGTCTCACCTGACCCTTCCTGGGCCTCCCTGAACACCGGCCCCAGAGCTCAGCCCTGCACTTCACGGCCACCAGGGCCAGGTGTCTTCCCACAAGCAGGCCTCACTCTGGTCAGTGTGCCAATTCTGTGTCGTCTCCTGCCCCATTTGAATGTGGTTCCCCTCTGCCCCTGGGGCTGGAGCTGTATGGTCGGTGACAGGGACAGCTCCAGGTGACTGGTACCTCTGAGTGAACCGGCTCTGTGAAGCACTGCCCACCAGCCCTGGGCGAGGAGACAGCTGCACCTGCTGGGGTCCTTGAGAACAGAGCAGAGGGAAGGGAAGGCCACATCCAGCTTCCCTCAGACTCACAGGAAGAGCGCCCAGGCTGGGGCCGTGGGACACCTTCCGCCTGCTGCCCACCTCTGCCTACCAGGCCTCAGTTTCCCTAGCTGTTGTTGAGGAGCAGGCAGGGGCTGTTTAAGGCTCTGCATGGCAGAGCAGCAGCAGATGCTGTTGCCAAGGCTGATTGCCCTGGGTGCCTCCTTCTGTCCTGCGTAAACCATGGGGCTGGGAGGTGCGGCAGGGAGGAGCGTGAAGGGCAGAGTGCAGATGGCAGAACCACCTTCTAACGGAGTCCAGGGAGTCTGCGTGGGCATGGTGCCGTCATGCCTGGTCATGTGATGAGGCCACCCCACACATTACCCTGAGGGGGGCCCTGACCCTCTCACCTCCCCATCAGCATCTGGGCAAGAGTGGCCTGGTCAGCAAGAACACACTTTTCTGTGTTTCTGTGTTGGGAGCACAGCCACACCCTCGCTCTGCCCTCTCCAAAGGGCTGTTTTGTCCATGTGTGGTGTGTGTGAGTGCATACATGTGTGGTTGGTGTGTGTGTGATGTGTGCCTGTGTACATGTGACCATGTATGCATGTGTGGTGTGCCTGCGTGTACATGAGCGTGTGTGTGCTTGTGTGTGGAGTGTGTATGTGCATGCCGTGTGCCCATGTACAGAGTGTGCGTGTACGTGTGTGAGACTTTGCCAGGATGGCTCTGCTGGGGACAGTTGTTACTGCAGATGTGAGGGTGCACAGGAAGGGCATATGTACCTCAACTGCACCCCATGTGAGCATTTCCCCAACAGTGTCAACATGTCTGTTATCCTTTGCTGGTTTCTCCAGTGTGTCCTCATTTTCTGTTTGTTTATTTCTCTCCGTGGTCCTGGGGACTGAACTCAAGGCCTTTGCACTGAGCTACATCCCAGCCCTTTTTATTTTTTATTTTGATACAGGATCTTGCTAAGTTGCCCAGGCTGAGCTTGAACTTGAGATCTTCGTGCCTCAGCCTCACAGAGGCAGGGATGACAGGCATGTGACTGGTTGGTTTAGGGGGTCGGGGTAGGAGCTCTCGGCTGTGTGGTGCAGGCCCTGTTCCGGGTGCTGGGTGCACTGGCAAGGACTGGCCTCGTGGTCTGTGTCTCATTGTCCCCTGAGGGCGTGGAGTATTGGCCCTTGCACACCTCTTCTTGCCGCCTCACTCCTCCCACGCCAAGGCTGGATCTGCACCATGGCCACTCCAGAGCCTGTGAGTGCGGTTGCCCTCAGCACTAGGCCAGGGGGCTCCGTGCTGGACCTGTGCTCCAGGGAGGCCCCTTCCAGTGCCCCTGCTTGCTTTCTCCACTGAGTCTGCTTCACCTGAGCTGCCAACCCTTCACGAAATGCACAGTGGTTGCAGCTTGGGATTCGCTTGGCTTCCCGCCCACTTTGACTCCGGGAGCCTCAGAAATGCTTTCCCCAAAATCCCCTTCCCAGCCCCAGAGGGTTCAGATGGTGTCCGGTCTATAGCCATACCACCCTGAACGTGCCCAATCTCGTCAGATGGTGTCTGGCAGCACAGTGGGGCTATGATCCGGCTGTGGCGCCAGATGTCTGGGCCACAGAGGCCCTGCCTCTCCTGCCTCCTGGCTCCCCCATGCCCACCACATCAGGAGCTCCGAGTGGCACCACTCCCAGCTGCCCTGTGCCCATCTCTGTGCCAACCGGGTGATTTCAGGTCCCCTCCGGTGACCAGTGCTCTCCAGCCATGTGTGACAGCCATGCATCAGCTGGCAGAGCTCGGGTTTTGAAATCTGATCCTGTGCTCTGCACCTGTGAGGCCTGGCCCACCAGCGACATCTTGTTGGCCCACTCAGTGTCACACCTGCTGACCTGAGGCACAGTTGTGTCCTGTGGGCCAGGGTGCTCCTCCCTCCCCCACCTCTGTAACTTGCTGTGCCTCCTACCCAAGTTCTTCCCATGCTGCCTCTCACAACTGATTGCCCTGTTCCCAGATCTCCTTCCCAGGAGCTGGTCTCCTTCTCCTGGCCCTCTTCCCAGGAGGAATTTTCAGATGCTTTTGCCCGGCGACCACTGGCACCAAAGCCCTGCCCTGCGGGCCAGGTCCTCTCCAGCATGTGACAGCTCTGGGTGCTGCATCTCTTTGGGACGCTGCTGGCTGCAACCCCAGCACACAGCCCTTCAGCCTCTGCCCAGCCCGGGGCCCTCAGGGCCTGGCCAAGCTCTTTCCGGTCCCCCGGATGCAGAGACCCTGCCTCAGGCCCTGCCTGCTCACCCCAGTGAGCTGTGCTAGGCTGCAGGCCAGCCTGCCTCTGACCCCATTAAACTCCATGGTGATTTGTCCATCTCTGCCCCTGGGTGGGGCGGCTGGGCTGGCCATGGGCTGTGTGACACTGGTGCAGTCAGCCCAAGGGCACGGTGGGAGGAGCCCACTGGCAGCCTCTGCCCTGCGTAGCTTGGCCTGTTCTCCACAGATGAGTGCAGGGGCCTTGTCATGTCCCCTCTGACAGATAATAGGCCACAGGGAGACCCCAGGCCCCTCAAGCTGGCTGCCATAGCAGGCCTTGCCAGGACCAGGGGCTGTTCCTGTCCCTGTGATGGTGAGGGTGGCCCACTGGGCCCCTGGAGCTCTGCTCAAGCCGTCCTGGAGCTCGCCATGTGTGTCTGGGTCCTTAGGGTTGAGGGGCCTCTGTGTCCTCTGATCTGTGCTGCTAGCATCTGTCTCTGGGAGGGACACAGGAAGGGCCTCTGCCAGTCAGGCTCAGGCCATCACCCCAGTGCAGAGGAGGGGGGTGAGGTTGGGCTCAGCAACAGCTCAGTCCTCACCTTGCCCGGGCACCCAGAATGCTGCTCTTCCCCACTCAGCCGGCGCCCAGGCCACTGAGGTGTCTGCCTCAGCCTCAGCCTCAGGAGAGCAGGACGATGAGATGAGGGTGGTAGAAAGGACATGGCCACAGGGAGTGAGTGCCAGGACAGAGGTGAGCTGTTGGGCCTGGGCCTGGGGTAGTGCCTTGGCGAGAGGCGCGTCCCTGTGACCACTTTAGGGGACGCCCAGGCCCAGAGACGCCCGCAGCAGGCTCTTGCCCACAGGTGTGGCAGTGCGGCGGCAGCATGGAGGTGCTGCCCTGCTCCCGCGTGGCCCACATTGAGCGCACCAGGAAGCCCTACAACAATGACATCGACTACTATGCCAAGCGCAATGCACTGCGGGCTGCCGAGGTGTGGATGGACGAGTTCAAGTCCCACGTGTATATGGCCTGGAACATCCCCATGACCGTAAGTGCCTGGCAGGCCATGGAACGGGGCGGAAGCCAGGGAGGGACCACTGGGAAGGAAGGGGCTTCCACTCATGCCAGCTAGGGTATTGCCAGTCTCTTCGCTGGGTCACTTTCCTGGTTCACAGGTTGCCACCAGCCGTTAGAAGCGAGGGAGTCAAACTGGGTGTGGTAGCACACACCTGTAATCTCAGCACCGTGGGAGGCTGAGGCAGGAAGGTTATGAGTTTGAGCCCAGCATGGGCTACTTAGTGATTTAGTGAAATCCTGTCTCAAAATTTTGAAGGGGCTGGAAATGTGGCTCAGTGTAAAGGCCCCAGGTTCAATCCCTAAAGTAGTAGCAGCAGTAGTAGAAAAGAAGAAGGGGAAGAGGATGGGGAGGAGGGATAAAAAGAGGAGGGAGAAGGGAGGAGAGAAAAGGGTGGGAGAGAGCATGTCCCACCTTTGCCCTGCTGCCAGCCCACCCCATGTGGAAACACCCAGCAGATGCCTGTGGGCACCCAGCAGCCACTTCTGAGCCCTTGGAAATTACACAGGTCTGGCGCTCTGGTGGCCACAGGTGTGATGGACAGGCCTGGGGCCACTGCGTACTGAGCCCCTGTCCTCAGGAGGAGTCTTTGTCCTCAAGTCCTGGGCCCCACGACAGCCCCCTTTTTTCATTAGCCCACAGTCAGAACCAGGTCTCATGCCCCCACTGAGGAAGCTGCTCAGGGCTTGGGTAACACCACCTGGAGTGGTCTGGGCTGGACCGTCTGTCTACCTTTGAAGCCCCACTGCAACAGAGGAGGCCAGTCTCCAACCTCCTGCCTGGATGAGTCCCTCTGACCAGGGCCATCTCCAGCCTCCCATCAGGGAGCCTCAGGACAAGAGCCCAGAAGGGAACGGACCCTCAAGTGCGTGCAGCACTGTGAGGTCCCTTGAAGATGGGGGAGTGGACATCGCATAGCTGAGTGGGGGTATGAGCACAGTCTCCCGCCTGGCCACCTGCCAAACCAAAGGGAGACAACATCCCAGGGCCCATGGGAGCCTCAGCTCAGCCCACGAACAGCACCACTGGAACCACTCTCCCCTCTGAGTGAGGAAACTGAGGTATGGCAGGCTGAGACACATACAATAGGTTCGAGCTCCACATCCTGAGCCCCTGGCTCACTGGCCAGGTCACTGTCCAGGGCAAGGAAGGGACAGGAGAGACTGGTCAGGCCCAGATCCAGGTCCCTCCCAGACTGGCAGGGCCAGACCAGCATAAGGCCTCAGCACCCAGAGTCAGAGTTGGGATGTGCAACCCATCACCCCTCCTGCTGTTTCTGCCGCAGAACCCCGGGGTGGACTTCGGGGACGTGTCTGAGAGGCTGGCCCTGCGCCAGAAGCTGAAGTGCCGCAGCTTCCGGTGGTACCTGGAGAACGTGTACCCCGAGATGAGGGTCTACAACAACACCCTCACATATGGAGAGGTACAGCTTGAAACAGCGCCCTGGCCCAGCACACGCGTGGGTGCCAGGCCCCCCACAGATGAGCCCACATGCACACAGTCGCACACAGGAGCATGCACATGTAGACGGGCACGTACAGGTGTGCACTCATATGCACAGGCATGTGTGCAGATATGAACATTGACATACATCTGTGGACCTGACGTGCACCCACATGTATGTGTGCATCCATGACTTGCATTTGCTCATGTGTGTGTATTCTGGTGCATAAAGGTGTGCAGTGTGTGCACACTGTGTGTACATAGGTGTGCATCCACGTGTATAAACATGCACTGTCACACCTGCTCATGTCCCTACATGCATGTGATCAGGGACCTGTGTGTGCATGTGAGCAGGCCCAACTCAACGTATGCACAGACACAGATTCCTGTGCAAACATACCGAAGTGGTGCATATCTACATGTACAAGTGCACACAATGTAGGGGCACATGCATGCAACTTTGCATGTGTACACAGAGCTCCTCATGCACAAGCACACATTTTTACCTGCCTGAACCCTGTGCATGGGGAAACACACAGCCATTCATCATCCAGACAGATTGGTGTGTGAACATATGTGTGTGTACATGCACAGGTGCACACGCATGCATCATTGGGCCTGGCCATGTTCATGCACACACTTGTGCAAAGGTGTACAGGCGATCAGTTGAACAAAGACCCCCCACATCCCTGCAGTGCCCAGCAGGGGCTGCACAGACTCAACAGCTGGGCCCAGGGCACTGTCCCGTCCTCCTGCAGCTGTGTTGGTGGTGGAGTAGCACAGGAAGGGCAGCCAATGCCACCTGCTTAGCGCCAAGATGCCCAGCTTCTCCCCAGAAGTGATGCCCACTCTGGCCAGCCCTGGCAGGAGGATGCATGGTACAGCCCCCACTGTTGTCTGTGCCTGGGCTCCTGGCCAACCAGGGTTGCTCCAGGCCTCTGGGTCTGTGTGGGAAACAGTTCACGTGTGAGGCAGGGAGCTGTTGCCCAGCCCTTCCTGGTCTCTGCCTGCCTTCATCATGCACTGCATCCCCATGCTGCCCACGGCCACACTACTCCACCTCTTGCACTCTTGGGCCTGAGATGCAGATGACCTGGCTGTGCTCAGCGTGCAGCCACTGGGCCCCCAAGGCTGCAGCTGGCACCTAGCCATGGCCTGTCCCCACCATCCCAGGGCAGCCTGGACTCAACAGTGTTGCCTCTGTCTGTGGCAGGGAGCTGGGGTCACAAGCAGGGCTTTCCCACATGTTTTTCCTGCTGAGGGCCACTGGGGTCTCCACATGCAGCCCACAGACACATGGGATCCTTCCCAAGACAGCCCAGCCATACCCCCACGCCCATGCTAGTGGGCCCCATCCCCAGGCACCAGGCTTGCATCTGGGGATCTCCTGGGTGACCCTGGATCTGCCATCACTCTGGTCACAGGTAAGAAACAGCAAAGCCAGCGGCTACTGCTTGGACCAGGGGGCAGAAGATGATGACCGGGCCATCCTGTACCCATGCCACGGCATGTCCTCCCAGGTGGGTGTCAGGAGCACCCCAAATGCCCTGGAGGAAGCAGACACAGTGAATGGAGAGTGTGGCATTGGGCCAAACAGGTCTAAGCAGGCTGGGAGGCTGAGGCAGGAGGATTTTCACAAGTGAAAGCCAGCCTGAACTACATAGTGAGACCCTGTCTTCAAAGAGAGAGAGAGAGAGAGAGAGAGAGAGAGAGAGAGAGAGAGAGAGAGAGAGAGAGAGA